GGCTGAGGGAAGCGGGGAGCCCCTCCGTGGGGCGAGCTGAGCTTCTCCCGCCACTGCTCTGCCTCCCGGAGATGAGAGCTGGGAGGGCAGGTGGCTTTGCCCCGTGATGCAAACCCATGTTTTATGCAGCAGGGCCTCAAAGCAGCCCTGCTGAGCGACCCAGGGGGGCCCCCTCTGCCGGGAGGGTGGCTCCCTGCTCAGAGTAAACGCGGCTATGATATTCTCTTTAGTGAGAAAAATGCCCTCGCCATCTGCTGCATTATTGATGGCCTTCCCGGGGCCTGGCCTACTATTCGGATGCCTCTAATAGTTTCATCTTTTCGTCTGCTTGCAGCTTGCTGGGCTTTGTTTTCTAACATAAGTACTGGGACACGTGTGCTGCACCCTCAGCACCTTGCTGGTCCATGAAAGGTGTGGGTAGCCCTGGTTTAAGGATAACGTGCACTGACTGCAGGAATATAATAAAATCCTTATATACGAGGCTCCATCTCAAATGTCTTTCTTACCGCACACCCTTCAGAACCAGTTTGGATCAACCACATGCCTTGTGGAGACAAGTGTCACCTGCGCTGCCTGAAGGGAGCAGACCCCCTCTGCTCTGGACTGTGCTCAGCCGTGTGGCCGTCACAGGCCTGTAAGAAACCCCCTGGTCTTGCCTGCGCCCGCAGGGGGCCCGTTACAAAGACTTCGTGCCTGGCAAGTCGTGTCAGACTCTATGAGACCCCATGGACTGTAGCCCACCAGTCTCCTCTGCGCATGGGATTTCCTAGACAAGATTACTGGAGTGGGTTGCCATTTCCTCCTCCAGGGGATCTTCCCGACCCAGGGATCAAACCTGGGTGTCTTGGGTCTCCTGCACTGGCTGGAGGATTCTTTACCACTGTGCCCCCTGTAACCGAGTAAATATGTGAGGGACTGGAGACCATGGCACCAGGAGCAGACATGACCCAGAAAAGGGCTTTGTGCGGCTCCCAGATCCTGGCACTTCCTCTTTATCATGTGTGCAAATAAACAACCTCAGCATTGTGGGGTTTACACCAGTGCATAAGTAACACATACAACAACTGTAGTATAAGTAGGGTGGGGTAAACAGGCTTTTTTTTACAGTTGCAAATCTTTACATTTATGTGAAATAATACATGTTATTTCATATAATACATATAATAATATGTATAATTCATATAGTATATATAATAATACATGTTATTTATGTGAAATAACTCTAAAGAGACAGGGACCACCAGGAATGTACATTGTAACCCCTTGAGCAACCACTTGTTCAGTTGCTTTGTGACTCTATGTGACCCTGCGGACTGTAGCCCGCCAGGCTCCTCTGTCCATGGGATTCTCCAGGCAAGAATACTGGAGTGGGTTACCACTGCCTACTCCAGGGGATCCTCCTGGATCAGGGATCAAACCTGGGTCTCCTGCATTGGCAGATGTATTCTTTTAACACTGAGCTACCAGTGAAGCAACCACTAAGAAAATGCAAAAAAGATACAGTGCCAATAGATAATAGATACATTTAAAGGGAATGCTAAAAATCAACCAACTTTTGAAAAAGGACAATCAGGCTACAAATAGCAAAATGATGGACTTCATATCACATCAATAATTAAAATAAACGTAGAGGATCAGACTCTGCAAAGAAAAGACAGAGATATTCAGATTGCATTTTAAGAAGCGAGACCCAGTTGATGCGCTGTCTACAAGAGACATACTTTTAACACACAGATAAGCTGAAAGTACAGGGTGGGGAAAGGCGCATACCATCAGTTACTATGTCAACATCAGATCAAAGGCACTTGAAGACAGAGTGTGCCCAGGAATAAAGAGGGGCATTGAATGATAACAAAAGGGTCAATTTGTCAGAAAGTCCTAACAGACACAAAGGTGTATGTGCTTCATAACAGAACTTCGAGCTACGTGCGGCAAGACTGGACAGACGGAAGGGAGAAGTGGACAGAGGCCCAGGGAGCCTGCGTGCGTGCGGGTCAGCACACAGACACAGGGCCCCAGGCCAGCAGCCCCGGGTGCGTTCTGCACAGACCGCCTACAGATCAAGAGCAAAACCCTTCCCCTCCGGAGACGAGAGTTCCCGATGCGATCAGGTGAACGCAGGTGAATACGATCAGGCCAGCTGGGGAAGTCCCCTGCTCCTCGCCGCTTGCTGGGGGCTTCTTGGTGGTGAGTTTGGCTGCAAGAGGCGTGTTGTTTTCAGCTACTGATGAGTGGCTAGGTAAGCTGACACCGACTGGGCGTGTCAGGGGGTCACTCTGGAGGTGGTCCCACCTCCCTCAGAGGTGGAGGTCATCTGCTCTCTAGGTGAGGTCACAGGGCATCCGCACACCCAAGGCTCCTTGTGGCTGGTCCTGCTTGGGGCGACCCTCTGATCGGAGCATAGCAATGACCCTGAGTGTGGGAAGGCGGGGACTCATCTCCTTTCTCAGCTTGTAATACAGAGAAAGTTTACACCTAGGAAATGAGTCCAATACAGTGATAATCACTGAATTACAATTCCCCAAACTTTACCTGGGATTCCCTGGTAGTTCAGCTGGTAAAGAATCCACCTGCAATTCAGGAGACCTGGGTTCAATCCCTGGGATGGGAAGATCCCCTAGAGAAGGGAACGGCAACCCACTCCAGTATTTTGGCCTGGAGAATCCCAGGGACTGTATAGTCCATGGGGTCGCAAAGAGTCAGACACGACTGAGCAACTTTCACTCATTCACTCAAACTTTACTTATTGCAAAGGGAAGAAGTCCACTAGCAGATTAAATTACTTTCCAGCAAAATTAAATATGTAACGAGAACAAACTAAATCTAGCCCCAGTGAATCTAACAATCTAACAAACTAAATCCAGCCTAAAATCTAACTAAACAATCTAACAAACTAAATCTAGCCTGAAATCTAACTAAACAATCTAACAAACTAAATCTGGCCTAAAATCTAACTAAACAATCTAACAAATTAAATCTAACAAACTAAATCTAGCCTCATTAAAAAATAGCAACCCATTGTCTAAAAGCATGAGCAGTGGAAGGGGTTCCTATAAAATCACAGTTCAGCTCTGATCTAAAAAAAAAAAAAAATGGGGAACCAGGAAGTCACTGTGAATGAAAAGCAGAACAAGAGCCACTTGTCCTGGGAGGGACTGATGGAAGGGGAAGAGGAGAGGTGAGATTATCAGTCATTATTCCCTGCTTCCATCTGAGAAGCCAGAGCAGCACTGCCCCAGAGAGGAGGGCGGTGAGGAGCATCAATCCCACAGTCAGAACTCAGACTGGCTGGTAACACGTGACCAGGAACGGCGCACTTTTGGCAGGCTGTGCAGTTCAATTATTTTATGGGTGAGAGTTGGAATGTATCCTGAGGAAGCAAGGATAAAGATGCACCTAGGCATGTAGCTATGGAGATACTGGACTCCCCTGGTGGCTCAGTCAGTAAAGAACCTGCCTGCAGTGCAAGGGACGGACTTGGGTTCAACCCCTGGGTCGGGAAGATCCCCTGGAGAAAGAAATGGCAACCCAGTCTGGTATTCTTGTCTGGGCAAATGCCACGGGTGGAGGAGCCTGGCAGGCTACAGTCCATGGGGTCATAAGAGTCAGACACGACTTAGAGACTAAACCACCACTGCTATGAAGATACTGTTAAAGCTTTGTTATGATACTAAAATGTATGAGGCTTTCTATAGATGTCCAGTGATAAGACATGCTAAGAAATCACACACACAAACACACTCACACACACACACACTCACACACACACACATCTATGCAGCGGGAAACTTGTTGCTGAAAAATGTGTATTTCTTACCCTGCATGATGTTTACCCTGGATTGTTGGAGGTGGGGGTAAGTTGAAAAACAAGACAGAATATTACATCCTATAGAGTTCTAATAGTAAAATCTTTTTCTTTTTGGCCACGCTGTTCAGCATGTGGGATATAGTTCCCTGATCTGGGATCAAATCGGGGCCCCCTCCATTAGGAGCGCAGAGTCTTAACCACTGGACCACCAGGGAAGTACCATAGTTAGAAGATCTTGTCCGTAAACTTACATGTGTACTTGTGCATATAAGATGCTATCCATGACTATTCCTGGGTTTGAGAATGATGGGTGATTTCCGTGTTCCAGTTTTTACCTCTGAGTTTTCTACAGGAATATAAGCTACTCCCCATAACCCTATTGTACCTGGTAACCAAGCCCAGTAAAAAGATAAGCGCAAATTTGCGTCTGCTTGGGGCCTTCCTGATATTACAGGAGAGCTCTCCTCCTGTGACCGTAACCCCCCAACCTCGGGGCACTCAATGACCATCCCACTAGGGATTCGGGAGAAGTGGCCATGTCCCTCACTTCTCCTGGGAAGCCGGCAGCCCCACAGCAGCCCTGGTGGGGCCTTGAGGATGGTTTTCAGAAGCGTCAGTGTCATCGCTGGTAGCCTAAAGTGAAGGCTAGCGGTCTTGCAGAGACTTCTGGAAGCCTCTTGCTGGGAGAAGAGGTGGTGGTTGTCCCACAGAGACCCAGTAGGACTCGGGTCTCCTGGATCGTTTAAAGAGAGAAGCTTTGCTGAAAATACTCCCTAGAGGGGAGGCCAGGGTGAAAAGGACAAACAGGGGAGGGTGGGCGTCCACAGACCAGCTGTTGAGGGTGGCCATTCCCACCTCAGAGCCGTGGAGCTGGAGGGGCCCCAGGAGGCACACACGGTCATGGGCAAGAAGGGAGCAGGAACAGGACACCCCAGCCTCCTGCCCCCCACCCTCCCATTTCTGGCCAGCACCCCCCGCTGGCCTGAGCCCGCCCCAGGCAGCCAGCAAGGGGGGAGCGCAGGGAGATGCAGCCTGCAGGGCAGACCTGTCTGCAGGGTGAGAGCGGGTGGGCAGCACTGGGGATGAGGGACTCAGGAGAGCCTCATAAGAGGACCCAGCCAGGGACGACCCCCAGGGACCCCCAGGGACCCGAGAGCACTCTTGTAACCCAGCTGACGTTCTGTGTGTGAAGGCCATTGACGTTCAGAAGTCAAGCACCGGGAGAGCAAGGGAGAGAGGGCATCGAAGATGAAAAAAAGAAAAAGAAGCTTAAAGGGCAGATGACTCGTAACAAGGGCCTTGCAGCCCCACAGGTGGTGCTGAGCGCGCGGCAGCTGAGGAGCCGGGAGGAGGGCCCCCTCGGTCGGTCTCTCTCTCGTCGCTGTGACCAGGGGCCCGGAAGGCAGGCTCTGAGGTCACCAGACGCAGAACGGAAAACCAGGTCACAGTCAGGTGTGCCTTCTTCTTTTTTCCCACATTTAAACGACTGTGGTCAAATATACATAAAACTTACCATTTTAACCACATCTAAGTGCACTGTTCAGCGGTATTAAACATCACCACCATCCATCTCCAGAACCTTCCAAAATTGTAACCCTGTCTCCATTAAACACCAGCCCCTGGTAACCAACATCTTAAGTGTGCTAAGTCTATCAGTCGTGTCTGACTCTCTGTGACCCCATGGACTGTATCCTGACAGGCTCCTCTTGTCCATGGGATTCTCCAGGCAAGAACACTAGAGTGGGTTGCCATGTCCTTCTCCAGGGGAACTTCCCAACTCAGGGATGGAACCCGTGTCTCCTGCATTGGCAGACAGATTCTTTACCACTGAGCCCCCTGGGAAGCCCAACCACCACCTACTTTCTATAAATGTGACTCCTCTTGGGACCTCATATAAGTGAATCTCAAATCTTACTGTTCTTGCTCTTCACTTCAGCAATAATGTCAAAGTCCATCCCTGATGGAGCAGGTGACAGAATATCCTCCCAACTCCTTGTGAGGACCACAGTTTGTTTATCCATCATCCATCGATGGGCACGTATGTTGCTTCCACCCCTTGCTATCCTGAAGAACGCTGCCATGAACACGGAGAGCAGACACCTGTTCCAACTCCTGCTTTCCCTTTTTTTCAGGGATAAATCCGGAAGTGGAATTGCTGAATTGTATGGTAATCCCGTGTTTAACTTTTTGACAAGTCGCTCTTCTGTTTTCCATGACGATGGTAACCCTGTGCGTTACCACCACCAAGGCGCAGGGTTCCGAGGCTCCACATCCTCACCAACACCGGTTCTCTGTTGTTGTTGTTAATAACCAACCTCGTGGGTGTGAGGTGGCATGTCACGATGGGTTTGATTTGCGATTCCCTGGTAATGAGTGATGTTGAGCCTGTTTTTGGGTGTTCATTGGCCAACAGTAAGGCTCCTTTGCTTCCTCCATCTTGTATACATGATCCTGTTGAAATCCACTTGGGTCCAGACCCCCGCGTATCCAACTGCCTTCCCACCGTCAGCCACTTGCTGCCCATGGCCCCCTAGACATTCACGTTTGACAGTAAACCCACTCCTCCCCCAACCCCCGACCCCACAGCCCGAGCTCCTTCTTCTCCAGGATCCAGAGGCATGAGCTGGATGGAGGCACTGCCACCTGGACCCACGGGGAGCCTCACCCCTTCCTCTGCCTCCCCAGGAAATTCCAGGAAACTTCCCATTAGGCACCCGGGCAGCCTCTGTCCTCCCTGTGTTCCTACCATCACCTACTTTGTCCCCTGAGGTCCATGGCTCCTCTCCTCCCAGCTCACCCCAAGCCTGGCTGGAAAACATGATGCAATTTTTCTACTTTTTTCCTTTCTTTTTCATCTTGAACAAGGGTGCATATGAATGTCCCTTTTTTGTTGTTTAAAGATTTTGTTGCCAATGCCAGAAAGTGATGAGGGATTAAAAGCAACAAGCAAAGCAAGCCTGAACACTGGAGGCACTGTCCCTAGGCTATAACGGTCACTCGGGCCTTTGCATCTTTGGCCCTGAGGCCCGGGGTCTCTGCCCGACCCCGTCTCCTGGCCACGGCTGAGCAGAAGACATGATGCCCCCTCCTCCCTCGCAGACCCTGGACTGAAAGGCGACGTGGCAGGGGTCATGGGCTCTGGGCCCCCTGAGACCTTCCAGCAGGTGGCTCATGCCGACGGGCCACAGCCTCCACCAGCTGCACCCCATCCGGGCCTGGAGTGGACAGAGGACACAGCGAACCCCATATTCTGCCCCAGGCTCCCAGATCTCGGCTCCCCTCCGCCCCACCACGTGGGCCAGCACCGTGCTGTGGCCCATCTCCCCACACAGCTACTACTGCCCCTGGTCTGGGCCCATCCAGGTCTCCACTCTGACCATCTCCTGGAGCAAACAATGTGAGTATGACCCCCTCACCCCGGCCCCGAGCTCATGGGACACCCCACATCTGGAGCGGCAGGCACCCTAGGGCTGCACCAAGTGTTTCCAAACAGAAATTCGGTTCTGCTAACATTTATCAAACAGGTTGACAGGGGCACCTCCGCTCAGCCAGACCATCAGGTGCAGGCCACACCTGACGTGACATGTCCGGGCGCACGTGGTCACACCACCGTGAGGAGCGTGACAGTAGCACCACCCATGTGTATTCAGTCCAGAGCACCGCAGGCCCTGCTCACAGCTGTGCCTGTGCACTGCTGGTTTCCTGGGGCCTCTGGGACAGAGACAGACCTAGACAGTACATTAAAAAGCAGAGATATCACTTTGCTAACATAGCTCCGTCTAGTCAAAGCTATGTTCTTTCCAATAGTCACGTATAGATGTGAGAGTTGGACCATAAAGAAAGCCAAAGAATTGATGCTTTTGAATTGTGGTGTTGGAGCAGACTCTTGAGAGTCCCTTGACTGCAAAGAGATCCAACCAGTCCATCCTAAAGGAAATTAACTCTGAATATTCATTGGAAGGACTGATGCTGAAGCTCCAATACTTTGGCCACCTGATGTGAAGAACTGACTCATTGGAAAAGACCCTGATGCTGGGAAAGACTGACGGCAGAAGGAGAAGGGGTTGACAGAGGATGAGATGGTTGGATGGCATCACTGACTTGATGGACATGAGTTTGAGCAAGCTCCAGGAGATAGTGAAAGACAGGGAGGCCTGGCGTGCTGCAGCGCATGGGGTCACAGTCAGTATATGACTGAGCAAGTGAACAGCAATAGACACCTATACTCTCACAGTTCTGGAGGCCAGAAGTCTGAATTTGAGGTGCATCAGACCATGCTCCCTCTGGAGGCCCTGGGGAAGGGTCCCTCCTGCCCCTTCCGGCTGCAGGGGCCTGGGGCCATCTTCGGCTTCCTGGGCTCACAGCCGCACCCTTCCCCGATCTCTTCCATCATGGCCTGGCCTTCCCGGGCGTCTCCTCCTTCTGTGGCTCTTCCCCTCTCCTTGTGAGGACACCATCGTGCTGGGTTAAGGGCCAGCCCTGCTCCGGGATGACCTCATCATGACTAATCACAGCTGCAGTGACCCAGTTTCCAAAGAAATCCTGTATTTGCCTTCTGAGGTCCCAGGAAGGACATGGATGTGGGGGGACACTCTGGCCTGGGGCACCCAGCTACAAGCCCACCACCCCCTGAGTCACGGGGGCCTCGAGGGTGGGCCCCGGCCTCCGCACAGCCACTCCAGGCTAAGCAGCTCCATCTCAGAGGAGCCGACCGGCCCAGCCTCCACCTCTGACCCCTGACCCCATGGCCCTGGTGACTCCTCCACACCATGGCTGCCGCGCAGCCCCAGGGCCGCTCCACGACTTGTTCCTGTCTTCAGCTGCTGCCCCTCTACATCCTCCTTTCTGGCTGGAGTCTCTCCTCCTCCAGACTCTCGTGTCTAGTAACGTGTGTGTAGGTGCCGGGTCATGCCAGTGGATAGAGCACAGATGCCCACATGGAGGAGGGAACGCCGAGTTCTCTGCCTGACACCCTGTCCTGGGAGGGCAGGGGGGATCACCACCCCTCCCGAGCCCACTCTCGGCTTCCTCCTGGCCCTGTTTGGACTCTGAGACCCCCACAAGCCACTCCTCAATGTGCCACCCTTCCAGCCCTGGAGTTCTTCCTTTGTTCCACCTGGAAAAGCCCAGCTTCTCGTGCCTGGGATGGTGGCACAAAGGACTCACCTCACCACCCTGCAGACCTTGTGGAATCACGTCCCAAAAGGCCAAGGAGGCCCTGCCGGCTGAAACGCAGGCTGCTCTCAGCCCGGCAGCTCCTCCCTCCTCCCCCAACACCTCCCACACGCCTAAAACCCTTGAGGGCAGGCCCACCCGGTGGCCCATCCGCCTGGCCCCAGGCCTTCCTGAAGGCACCCTCCTGGGGGCAGCAAACATCCTCACCCAACATCCGTGCAGCCTCTGCAGGCTCTTTGGGGGAATTGCCCACTTTCTCCTGTTTCTTTTTCCCTTAGTCTGCTGGAATCTTCCATCAGTGCTGATAAGCATGTCTCTCTCTAGACCACTCTCTGCTCCAGCCTGGTTCTCCCCTGCTCATCCATACCTGCCTCCTCACGAAGCACCAGCCCAGCTCTGCCGTCCCCCCAGCCCACATCACTGCGCCCTTCCGCCAGGAGCGAGCCTTTGTCTCTGCTGACGCCCCTCCCTGGAACACACCTCCCTGGATTTCTTTTTTTTTTTAACACGGAAGAGATGTCTACAAAGTCTGCGTGCAACCCTTGCTCAGGGGCCGCGCTGACCTGTGCGTTCTCCCAGGTTAGTGAGCACGCCGCCAAAGGGGGCGCCTCCCTGGCTTTCTCAAACACCCTTCCTTCCCGCTGTGGGACCTTCCACCTCAGTGCCCTCTGCCGCCTCCGGGCCTCCTCTCCACCCCCAGGCCGTCGTGTCTTCATCCTTCGTCCCACGCCCCCGCCTTGGCCCGTCCTCCCCAGTGCTCCTCACGGTAGGCAGTGGTCTCAGTGAGACTCACCAACTTTCCACATCAAAGCCGTTTTAAACAGGAGGGAAGTGGGCAGGGCACAACTTTTGAAGGAATGACACAACCCGAGGACACAACAGAAACTGATTAGAATCAAGTCCGTCCAAGATGGCAGACAAGTCAACTGGACCTTGACCCTCAGGATAAGCTCCTGGCAACACCACCTCAGCAGGCTAAAGGACACGCCCAGAGGTGCCATGACAGTTCCGAGGTCAACCACCAGAGATCCAAAGGGGGCGGTGGCCAATTCCTGGAAGTCTCCACCCTACTCCCAAAATACTGTTGCCCTTGTTCTGTTGCCAAGGCACATCCAACTTCTTGTGACCCCATGCGCAAATTATTAATAATTGGAACAATCCTCCCGCTCATTAGCCTGTGAAATCACTCAGCCCATAAAAGCTAACCACACCACATTTTGAGAAGCACTTGCCCTCTGTGGTGGCCCACACTGTGTGGAGTGTGTTTCTCTCCGAATAAACCCACTTCTTACCTCTCACTGTGTCTCTCACTGAATTCTCTCTGCAATGAGACGTCCAGAACCTGAACCACTCCTGTGACCTCGGGCGGAAGACCATGGTTTTGGCTCAGCTTGAGTCCCGGAACATGGGTTCAGGGTTTCCCAGGTGGTGCTAGTGGTAAAGAACCAGCCTGCCAGTGAAGGAGACTAAGAGTCTCGGGTTCAATCCCTGGGTCGGAAGATTCCCTGGAGGAGGGCATGGCAACCCACTCCAGTATTCTTGCCTGGAGAATATCATGGACAGAGGAGCCTGGTGGGCTATGGTCCGTAGGATCGCAGAGTTGGACACGACTGAGTGCCTTAGCACACACGCTCATGGGTTCAAGTCCCAGTCTGAGGTAAAGGGATTCCAGCATCTCTCTCGAATCTTCTGTTCCCTCTCTGAGTGCCTCTGACCCACCTGGAACTACAGCAGCAGCCCTGGCCCCCTCCCACCACCGCAGAAGCTGAGCTGCTCTCACTGTCGGCCTGGACCCTGGCTGCCCAGCGGATACGCAGGCACGCTGAGTGCCAGTCAGGACAGCAGAGGGCATGGTGACTGCAAGGAAGCCGTGGCCAGCCAGAGAAGGGAGTCGCAAGGCTAAAAGATACTCTTTCTTTTCTCCAAAAACACGCTTCTTTCTTGCAAAACATGTTTCCCCATAACCCATATGGGCGACGTTGTTGCCGTGACCAGCCCAGGGGACGGGTTTCCTGACAGCGGCGGCCATGCTGGTAAGGCTCTGCCCTGCGTCTGCCCCCTCGCCGGCTCACTCACCTCATCCGCTCACTCTTACGGGGTGACGCTGACAGGAAAGTCTCAGCGCATGAGCTGAGGCACTCCCCAACATACCGGAATACCATCCTGCTGTCAAAACAACACACACACTTCACACCCACGGGGACAGCTGGAATCAAAGAGTCAGGAAACAACCAGTGCTGGCAGGGATGTGGAGGAACCAGAACTTCCCACATAGCTGGTGGGGATGTAAATGGTGTGGCTGCTTTGGAAGAGAGTCCACAGTTCCACAGTTAAAGACAGTTGCCAAAGGCCAGCAGGTCCACTCAGGAGAAGGGGAAAGACGTCCACAGAGACACGCACACACAAACGCTTGTAGCATCATTATTCATCAAAGCCAAACAGTGGAAACACCATGACTGTCCATCCACTGGTGAATATACCAAATGCAGTGCTTCCATAAAATGGGACACTACTCACCATAAAAAGGAAGGAGGCATGCATATCTGTACAATGAGGATGAACCTTGAGAACACTGTGCTAAAGTGGCAGAAGTTAAACACAGAAGACCAAAGACCACATATTATATAATTCTATTTATATGAAACTCCAGAACAGGAAAACCTACAGAGACAGAAAAGAGGTTAGCAGTTGCCCAGTGATGGGTTTTTCTTGGGCTCCAAAAATCACTGCAGATGGTGACTGCAACCATGAAAATAAAAGATGCTTGCTCCTTGGAAGAAAAGCTACGACAAACTTAGATAGCATATTAAAAAGCAGAGATATTACTTTACCAGTAAAGGTCTGTCTAATCAAAGCTATGGTTTTTCCAGTAGTAAAGTATGGATGTGAGAGTTGGACTTTAAAGAAAGCTGAGCACCGAAGAACCAATGCTTTTGAACTGTGGTGTTGGAGAAGACTCTTGAGAGTCCCCTGAACTTCAAGGAGATACACCCAGTCCATCCTAAAGGAGATCAGTCCTGAATATTCATCGGAAGGACTGATGCTGAAGCTGAAGCTCCAATACTTTGGCCACTGATATGAAGAGCTGACTCACTGGAAAAGACCCTGATGCCAGAAAAGATTGAGGGTGGGAGGAGAAGGGGACGGCAGCAGATGAGATGGCTGGATGGCATCACCGACTCGATGGACATGAGTTTGGGTAAGCTCCCGGAGTTGGTGATGGACAGGGAGGCCTGGTGTGCTGTGGTTGATGGGGTCGCAAAGAGTCGGACACGACTGAACTGACTGACTGAGGGCTGGGGAGTGGAGGCTGGCGGGGTGGGGTGAAGAAGGATAAAGGGAATGATGTTTAGGCACAGTTTCTTTTTGGGTTGATGAAACACTCTCAAATTGACTGGGGCTTCCCTGGTGGCTCAGATGGTAAAGAATCTGCCCGCAATGCAAGAGACCGAGGTTTGATTCCTGGGTCAGAAAGATCCCCTGGAGAAGGGAATGTCTACACACTCCAGTATTCTTGCCTGAAGAATTCCATGGACAGAGGAGTCTGGTGGGCTACAGTCCATGGGGTCAGAAAAAGTCAGACACAACTGAACAACTTTCACTTTCTTCTCAAATTGACTGTGGTGATGGTTTCACAATTCTGTGGATGTACTAAGTGCTATGGAAGTGTACACTTTAAATGGGTGTATTACATGGTTTGTGAATTTTATCTCAATAAAGCTGTTAAAGAGTGATGACATAGTCAATGCTGACTCAAAGATACTCACAAGCTCCAAAGGACTAATTCCACTGTATATGAAGTATGATTCTCCTTGTGTTTTGTTTTAAACACACATACATGCATAGGAAAAATATCTGAAAATACCCCAAGAAGTTACAGTGAGTATCTCTAGGTGATAGCATTATGGATTTAAATATATATTTTCACATACTTTCTGTATGTTTTATAATAGGCACGTAATCTCTTTCTATTAAAAAATAATATAGTCACCTACCTTATTTTTTAAAATGGATCATTTAAATAGGTTATTTTTTAGATGGCTGTTAATGTTATTATTAAAAGTGTATCAGGAATAGAGACTAAAGTCCATAGATGGCTCCCTGCATACACAGCATCTCAAAGTCCTTAGAACACGTCCCCCTTCCCGCACCGCCCGCCCCCCACACACACCCGTGGTCCGACAGTTTGTCCATGTCCAGAAGACCTGCTCAGCATCGCGCCCTCAGTGACTGGTCTGGGGAGGCAGCACAGCACTGGGCTTAGTTCGTAAGCGACGGTAAATGCCCCTTGCATTAACAGCACATCTGTAATTGAGAATGGTAATAAATGGTACCCTCATGAGCATATTTCCTCAGATACTTATCTCCGAGTCACTGGCTGGCGCTGGAGAGAACAGATCCCATTATGCTCAATGGAAAGACTCCATCAGTAACAGCCTCACTGCAGATGATGGCATTTCAAACCATCAAAATTCCTGGATATGGTTTCTGGGAGCGAGGCTGCGGGCTGCAAAGGCAGTCAAAACTCAGCTCCGTCCATTGTCATTCCTTGGACTGACTTCTTCATTCACGGGCCCAGACTCCAGAGGCTTTAGGCAAACCACACTCTGGGGGTGCAGTGATGAACGACAGGTGAAGGCGAGGCCACAGACAGCCCTAGCAGGATCTGGCAAAACGCAGCCCACAGGACTCCCTCCTGCCTTCTCCCAGATCTGTGGGGTCTCTGTGTGACTCCAGGAGGCCCCTGGTTCAGAGTGGCACTTGGGAGAGGGGATGGAGAGGCAGAGGCAGGGCTGTATTAACCTCGGCTTGGCTGGGGAGAGAAAGGTAACTGAGTGAATAGAACTTGGCACTTGGGAGAGGGGATGGAGAGGCAGAGGCAGGGCTGTATTAACCTCGGCTTGGCTGGGGAGAGAAAGGTAACTGAGTGAATAGAACTTGGTATACCAATTAGCTAACAGAATTGATAGCACTTTCCCAAACAGCAGAGAGGCAATGCAGGATCTCATACCGTTATTATAAGGTATGTACTTGGTATTAAAACAAAGTTATTCGGATAGTCTGGAAGTCCAGGCAGAATGGCAGAGGGAAAAAAGATGAAGGAAACAATCTCAGATCCCACAAGACAGGTACACTGCAATCTGTGCTGTCAGAAATTGTTGTAAACAGCAACTTGGTTGGTAAACACTGACCTGTCACCTCATTGTCTTAAACCTCATACATCTGAATACCAGCTTTTGAAAGCAGATGTGCGAAAGAGAAGCTTCCTGCATTTTCTGCTGTTTCCCCCTTGAATCCATGGTACATCTACATTTCAGAGTTATGGCCGTGAGGCACATTCATCTCTGTGAGGTTAAGAGCTTGATTTATATCAGTGCTTCCTAACCTATGTGCATGCGACTCAAGTCTGAGGGTGGAGTAGGGGAGACCCAGCATAAGCTTCTGATGGTTGAAGAAGGAATGACTCTCAGGTTACACAGCATCCATCATATTAGCGTGCCATCATTTATCGAGCAAGTTTCCTGTCGGTTGGTAACTGGGCCAGCTTTTTGGAACTTCATGGGTCCCAGTGTTACTGTGATGGTATGTATGTGTGTGTGTGTGTGTGTGTATACATGTGTGTATATATATATATATAATGTATGTATATATATATATATTACATGTATATGTATGTATATTTACATGTACTCTTTGCGACCCCATGGACTGTAGCCCACCAGGATCCTCTGTCTATGGGATTTCCCAGGCAAGACTACTGCAGTGGGTGGCTGTTGCCTTTTCCAGGGGATCTTCCTGACCCAAGGATTGAACTCAAGTCTCCTGCATTAGGAGGATTTTTTACCACTGAGCCACCTAGGAAGCCCATAGACATCCTTGTTGTTGTTGTTTAGTCACTAAGTTGTGTCTGACTCTTTGCAACCACATGGACTGCAGCATGCCAGGCTTCCCTGTTTTTCACTATCTCCCAGAGCTTGCTCAAACTCATGTCCATTGAGTTGATGATGCCATCCAACCACTTCATCCTCTGTCACCTCATCCTCCTCCTGCCTTCAATCTTTCCCAGCATCAGGGTCTTTTCCAACGAGTCAGCTCTTTCCATCAGGTGGCTAAAGTATTGGAGCTTCAGCATCAGTCCTTCCAATGAATATTCAGGGTTTATTTCCTTTAGGATTGACTAGTTTGACCTCTTTGCTGTCCAAGGGACTCGCAAGAGTTTTCTCCAACACCACAGTTCGAAAGCATCAGTTCTTTGGCGCTCAACCTTCTCTACAGTCTAATTCTCATATCCGTACATGACTACTGGAAAAACCATAGCTTTGACTATACATCCCTTTGTTGGCAAAGTGACGTCTGCCTTTTAATATGCTGTCTACATTTGTCATAGCTTTCCTTCCAAGGAGCGTCTTCTAGTTTCATGCCTGCAGTCATGGTCCACAGTGGTTTTGGAGCCCAAGAAAATAAAATCTGTCACTGTTGCCAATTTTCCCTCCATCTATTTGTCATATGATAATATATATATTACATGTGTATAGATGTGTGTGTAGTGGCTCAGCAGTAAAAAAAAAAAACCCTCCTTCAATGCAGGAGACTCAAGTTCAATGCCTGGGTTGGGAAGACCCCCTGGAGGAGGGCATGGCAACCCACTCCAGTATTCTTACCTGGAGAATCCCATGACTGAGAGGCCTGGCAGGCTACAGTCCACAGGGTCGCAAACAGTCGGACATGACTGAATTGACTGAGCATATATATATATTACATGTATTAATATATGTATATATACCTACAGAGAAACATACCTCCATGCACTTATGCAAGAACTGGAAAGAATGGCCAGGGTCCCAATTCCCTTAAGTCAAAAGAGCTTTAAAACAAAAAAAAAAAGCTATGCACTTTTTTATTTAAGGGGGTGGGATCCCAGGTGGGAACCCCCCCACAATAAAGTTTGGAAAAAAAACCCAAAAACAAACAAACAAAAAAAAAAAGTCAAAAGAGCTTTGAACTTTGGGGAACAAAGTACATAGTTGTGACCAGGGCAGAGACGGGAAAGCCTGTCCTGCCCACCCAACAGGCAGAGCAGAAGACGGAAGACTCCTCTGCACACACTCCTGCTTTGGCTGGGTCAGGCTCAAGAAAAGAAAATAAATCACATTATTAGCAAATGCTGTCTTGATTGAACATAACCATTCAAAAGCAGTTTTGGTTATAATCCAGTGTCAACAGTATTTTACACTTTTATAGAAGTAGATTAGGTGAGGTTCATGCCAGGTTGGCACCTTGGACCGGGGTGGGGGAGGGGGGCAGGGGGACGTGGGGGTGTATGACATCCACACAACCAGGCTGTGTCTAGCCAGTCAGGTGGAGGAGATTTAGAGAAACTAGTTCTGACCCTGGGGTAACAGGAAATGTCTACTCAGCACTTCTCAAGTTACCTAGTGAAACATCCTTATGGTCCAGGAGAGTAAACACACCCCCTGAAAGCATTACTTTTCCTTGAGGTCTCTGGATTATCACTCATGTGAATCCCATCCTCACCTCCACCCCCAAAATGAAGTTTGAGAAATGTTGGTACCTCAGGAAGGCTTTTTTAATCTTCTGGCATTAAGTCAGAAACCCCAGCGTTGAAGAGATCACACAATATGGCATTTCACACTGCCTAAGCCTGTAGGGTCTCTTGGCTGTGAGCGGATTTGCTATTTAGAGCACAAACTTCCTCTCAATCTCTGCTCACCGGCAGACAGTGGGAAAAGACCAGAGTTTTTCTACTGTTGTTCAAGGACATCTTAAATAATACAATCTTGCTCAACGAGAGGTGGGTTTTCAGTTGGCATGGAGCCTGCCCTCCTATTTAGACGGCCAGACTCAAGTGGCAAACGAGATATAAATACATGACATCAACAAGATAAAATAATCTTATTTTTACCCCAAGTGGTTTTGATGGTTTGTTTTCCACTAGTTAGAAACTAGAAGAAACTATTTTATGAGTGGAGATTTCATCATTTACATTTTCGTAAAAAGGGCTCGTGTCAGAAAGGGTTTCTGAAACCACTCTGGTGGCTGGGAAACACGGCTGAGCCCTTAAACGTGCCAGCACCTTCTGGTCACTGCAGGCACTAACCCACTTTATACCAGCAGGTGCGGTGACCGGTCAGGAACCTTAGACAGCAGGACATGGAGCGGAAGTCAGAGCATCACCACGGGACACGCCGGGGCAGAGAGTGACCATATGGAGGGGAGGCTTTTGAACGGGTCATGCCCGGGATAGGGTCCGGAGGCTAAGGTCTTCCAGCACCGGACGCCAGGCCCGCGGCTGCCAACTGTTGGGAAACCGCCCTCCCGCGGCCGCCGTCCACCCGAGGCCCCGGGCGCTCTAGGCCAACCCCGTCCGTCCGTCCGTCCGTCCGTCCGTCCGTGTCAGTGCTCCCTCCCCTCGGCCGGTCCATCGGCCCGTCCGTTAGTCAGTCCCTTCCCCCGCTCCACCCTCTGGTCAGTCCGTCGGTCCCCCCGCCTGTCGTCCTCTCGAAGCTCTATCCGTCGGCAACACGTCCCCTCCCCCCGAGCCTGTCGGTCAGGCCGTCCCCCGTCATCTCCCACCCCCAGCTAGCGTCCGGCCCCTGGGCGCGCTCAGCCCGCCATCCGTCCGTCCGCGTTCCCGAGCCAGCGCGCCGGGCGCGGGGCGGCGGTGGCGTGTGATGACGTCATATGGGCCGCCCGCCCGCGATTGGCCGCAGCCTCCTCACCAGACCCCGAACGGACGGGCGCGCGGGCGGGGCGGGGCGCGCGGAAGCCACGCCCCCGGGCGGTGGGCCGGGCGCGGCCACGTGACCCGGGGGGCCCCGCCGCCCGCCTTATAAGCCGCGCGGCGCGCGGACCGCCGCGGGCCTGACTCTAGGCGGTCTGGGCCGGTACCGGTCTCCGAGTCCCTCCTCCCTCGGCGAGCCCGCGGGCGGGCGCCCCTCGGCCAGGTACGCGGGGCACGGCGAGGTTGGCGGGGTAGGGGCTCCGGGGCGGGTCGGGCTGGGATGTCCGGGTGCCGACCTCTCCACTCCGGGCAGCCGCCCCTCTAGGCCGCCTTCCTTTGGGGGTCCCTCGGGCCTGGGCGCAAGCCCTGACCCCAGCCGCGGTCCCTGCGCTGGGGGCCAGCACCCCCGACCCCCAGGTGCGCTCTGCCGGTGCGCCTCCTGGAGCGGGAAGACCCCGGCAACTTGTTCTGGGGCGACCTGCCCCCGGTCCTGCCTGGCTGAGTCCGCCTCCTGCAGACGGACGGGGTCTGGAAAACTTCTGGACTGGACGGGCCAGAACTTCAGGGCTTCTGTGGAGGGCCGTCGTGGCGGGAGCGCAACGCTCAGGTGCACCCAACCTGCCTGCCTGCCGCGGAAAGCAGTCGGTGCATCTGCTTGGCTGGGGCTGTGGGCAGGGTCCTTGCAGCCGCTCCCCACCCGGGGGCACCTGCTGGGTGTGACTAACTTCCGGAAGGCCTTGGGGGTTTTCCTGGACCTGCTGGTGGTGAACCAGAGCAGAGCCCTCCTTTACTGGGCCTCCCTGGACCCGACCTCCTTTGGAAGTGAACTTGGTCAGGGTTCCACCTCCACGCCCCCTTTTCGTTCTAGGAAAGCCTGCAGACGGGTGGCTCATGCCCAGACTGGACGACCACCTCTGGAGAGGTCCCTGCGCTAAGGGCACGAAGCACAGAAGCCACCCAAGGGCCAGTGCCAGAGGGCTGGTAGCCAAAGCAGGCGAGATGAGCAACTCCTCGGCGTCAGGCCCCTCTCTGCTGGCGGCCCACGGCGCCCTGGGCACCGACCCTGCTCATGGGCCTCAGAGCGCTGGTGTGGGGGGCCAGGGCGGCAGCAGCCACGTCAACAGCTGGCATCACCACCTGGTGCAGAGAAGCCTGGTGCTGTTCTTGGTGGGGGTGGTCCTGGCCTTGGTGCTCAACCTCCTGCAGGTCCAGAGGAACGTCACCCTGTTCCCAGACGAGGTCATCGCCACCATCTTCTCCTCCGCCTGGTGGGTTCCTCCGTGCTGCGGGACAGCAGCGGGTGAGTAGACACCGCAGATGTCTGCTGGGTTAGGAAGTGTGTTTGGCCTCTGAGAACTGTTTGTTTGAGAATGGAACCATCCAGAGAGGGGCAGTGTGCATCTCCAGTGACTGGATCCAGAGGAGAAGGGGCGAGAGGAGGAGCCCACATGCCAGGACTCTGGATGCTGCTGACGGGGACCAGGCGGGCGGTGATTGGCTGTTCCTCGCCCGTGCCAGGCTGACCGAGGTCCTTCCCTCTTACTGATCTGGCCCTGAGGACAGTGTTGAGGGGGCCCGCAGCTGTCACCCCGAGCGAGCCGCGCCATTGGCCACCGGTGGAACTGGTGAGCCGAGGAACTGCCGCGTGATTGGCTGGCCCTGGGAACATGCTACCCGCCGGGCAACCGAAAACAAACCGTCACGTGGGCGAGTGGGCAGAGCTGCCCCAGTGGCCTCCCTGCACTTCCTTTTTCAGGACTGCCCTGTGAACGTGCCAGAGCCAGGCCTTCTCCCCCACCCCCACCAAAAAAAAAAAAAAATATGCCGGGGTCCCAGGATGAAGGAAAACAAATGTCTTATCCAGAGTTTAGATTTTAGTGCACCTGGCCAGAGTCTGACCCAGACAAAACCTGACCCAGAGTCTGCAGTCTTAACAGACTAGACAGATGGACTGTATCTCTGAGTAAAATTTCTTGGTCATCTGGCTGGTTTTAGGAAAAAACGCTGAACTGATCTCAGCCCAGTAGGGCGCTTAGCACTTCTCTGGTCACCCAGCATTCACTGTGGCCTGAGGTCTGCCGGTGGTTGAAGTGCAGAGTGAGCAGCCTGCCCCTGGCAGGCATCCTGGGCTGGTGGGCAGGACAGGTGTGAACCCGGGTGACCAGGCTGGCTCCTGTCTGCCCCGTGGCTGGCATTTATGGACTGTTTTATATGCTTTGCTTCCCCTGGTCCTTACGAGACTCTGCTGCAGCTCCATCTCACAGACGTGGAAAGTGCAAGGGGACACGCCTAGTGGCAGGCGCACTGTCCGTAGCTGGGTGTGTCCCCTGCACTGAGAACGCAGCAGCTTGTCAGCAGCTTCCCTTAGAACAGGGGGGAGGCCCCAGGCTGGAGTGGGGAGCCTCATGGGAGGGGTGCTGCGGGGAGGAGGTTCTCATCGTTCTCAGGGAGTCAGGCTTCTGCTGTTTTCTAAGCCCCATCAGTAGGCCCTTTTACTATCCAGACTCCTTTTTGGGCGTTGGACCTAGGTGCACACTTCCATTTTTTCATTCTCATGTGATATAGTAGTTCCTTTGACTGGAACAGTTGATCTCAAAACCATTGAACCATTTGGTTTAGGCTTTATTTGTAACAGAAGCTTCAAGGAATTCCAGGGATATCTGATACATGACGTCTGGTACCCTAGCTGCTTATTTTAGGCCATCAGTCAGGGGCATAAAGGGAAAATGCCATAGTACATTTTCACCTACTTGAATATGAAAGGCTAAGATTAAGATACAATAACTTAAGTGATGGAACTGTTTGGGTTCTGTTTTTCAAGACTCCAGAATTATGGGGGTTCCCTGGCGGTCTAGTGGTTAGGACCCGGTGCTTTCATTGTGGTGGCCCAGGTTCAATCCCTGATCAGGGAACTAAGATCCCACAAGCTATGCCATGTGGGTCCCCCACCCCCCCCCAAAAAAAGTCCAAAATCAGAACTTGATAAAATGTAATATGGAATTGAAATTGTTTCATCGACTCTTGGGCTAAAGCTGTGTTCCTTGTTTCTCTGTTTGGGAGCTGACCTGGGTCCCTCTTCTGGCGGGACCCCAGGGGCACCGTGCGTGACTCTCAGGCCTCAGTCCTGGCTGACGTCACCTGGCCTGCCTCCCGGCCAGTCGCCACACGCCCTGGTCCCTCTTGCTTTGGCTTTTTCCATTTTACTTCGTCCCGGAACACCGAGCCTTCCCCTCTCTGGGAACTCTCAGGCTTTAAAGTCCTGTGTCTGTGAAAACGGTTCCAGGCCAACAGTAAGCTCTTCCTCCTGCTCCTTCTGGTTACATAACCCTCATCATTTTACACACGTGGGGACAAGCACGAGCGCCAGGTTCCACTGGGGCGAGCGGGGGTTGAGGCCTTGTTTTCCGTGCTCCAGCCCTGGTTCAGGGCCTGGACGCAGGGCCGGGGGGGCAAGGTTGTCCTGTATACTGACCACGGCAAGGGTGCATGGTGCACACACGGGTCTCTTGCAGAAAATGCTGCAACCCCTTAGCCGTCAGGGGCAGGACCACCCTCTGGGAACGTGGCCTGCGTGACCCACATGGCACAGTCGGGTCAACACGGGGGTCCCAGGCCTGCGTGGTGTCAGAACAGGTGCCATGGCCTCCAGGCCCTGTGGGTGCGCCCCTCTCACTGGGCCGGGGAGGAGCACTGAGGTCCCCAGGGAGGCCCCCTGCAGAGGTGTGGGGGTGCCTCCCACGTGGATGATTGAATCCTCCAGCTCCATTCCTTCTATAGGGCAAGCCAAAGAGCCGCAGTTTTATTTAAAATTGTACAGAACGACATGGATTTTTTTGGTTTGTATTCAAGGAGAACAAAGATGTAACAGTTTAGAAATAAAAGATGTAAAGTTAGTTTAAATATCTGATGGCTGGTAAATCTAGGAAAGGGAATGGTTTGAATAATGCACTGATGATCGCCACGTAGCAGTCACGTGTCTCTGCCGGCGCGCTCAGACCCTGCCGCCTTGTCTTCTCCCGCAGCTGTGGTTGGCCTGCTGTACCCCTGCATCGACAGTCACCTTGGGGAGCCGCACAAGTTCAAGCGGGAGTGGGCCAGCGTGATGCGTTGCGTGGCCGTCTTCGTTGGCATCAACCACGCTAGTGCTGTATCCTTCCAGAGCAGCCTCATGTTACTGTTAATGGGTGTCTGTCGCGTCCTGGGTCAGCTGAACCATCCTCTTACAAGTATCATTTCAAACCATGTTGCTCAGTTTCCTCTCGGCAGAGCTTTCGAAATGGTCCTGAAAAGTCCTTTTGGTTCGTTTCAGGAAACAGTTAAAACGACCCTGGGAACAGAGTGGAAATCTTTATAGTCTGTCCCTTTCTCGGGCACTACCTGTTGGATCCTTGGAGTTTGGTAAATTCCCTGTACGTTTCTGCCTCCCATCCTTCCACAGCGCAGACCTGGTTCCTGTGCCGCAGTGAGAAGTGGGGAGAGCTTCCTCTTCGTGGCCGACCCTTCCCGAAGGCAGAGCAGAAGCCCGTCTGCTTCTCCGCCCTCCCCGGCCATGACCAGGGAAGGCCCAGGGCTGATCAGAGGAGGTGGCCTCAGGAATAGGGTTCCCAGTGGAGGTTACCTTCAAGGTCCAGTTCTGGCATTCACCGGTGGGCTGCCTGGGAAAACACGTGCAGTTTTCAGGAAGATGGGCCATGGTTTACCAGGTCTCAGGAGATATATGGTTTCTTTCTCACAGAGAGATTATATTTTTAAATTCTGGAGAAAGCTGTTTTTAGAGTTTCTGCTGCTTAAATCTGCTCTACCCTGATTTTAATGATAAGAACTTCAAGAAAAAGTATTATAAGAGAGCCTGGCTCTGACGAATTTGTTTTGTCCCCAGTTGATAAAGCAGTGTTGTGAAGGAGGCCAGCTGTGTCTCCATCCGCTGTGACCATGTCATGTTGAATGCCATTCCGATGAGATGTCTCCTTGCAGGCATGGAGCAAAGACCAGGCCTGCTCAGTTCAAACTGCTAGTAAGAACAAGAAGTAAAAGTGGGACTGTGGGTGACTTACTAGAATGTAGTTGTTTTGTGGTTGAATTAAATCCAAGCAGGGTTTTGTGCATAGCTTTTAGGACTTTGACGGGTAGAGTCAAGTTTTCGACGCAGGGATCCCAGAGGCACCCCAGGGCATCCTGATCAAGTAGCCTTGCATCCAGCACATGCTCTCTGCGGCTCTCCCCGCGACTTCTGTGGGTGCAGGACTAGGTGGTGCACACATGTAGGCCCCGGGGCTCGCTTGTGTGGTGTTGACCATATTAGAAATTGTTGCAGTCTTCCTTAACTTTGCATCGCCAGAAACTGGATTTTGCCAATAACGTTCAGCTCTCCTTGACGTTAGCAGCCCTGTCTCTGGGCCTCTGGTGGACATTTGACCGTTCAAGAAGCGGCCTGGGGCTGGGCATCACCATCGCCTTCCTCGCCACCCTGATCACGCAGCTGCTGGTGTACAATGGGGTCTATCAGTAAGCACGTGCTCTCAAGTGTCCCCTCTGTCCGGAAGCTGTCACTCCACTTTTACTCAGAATACCCACGAAGCTGAGGTGCCGTGTTCTGTTTGTAATTACACGGCATGAGCTTAGACATGAAATCTTCAAAAGCATTGCTTATTGTTGATTCCCATAAAAATGCACCGTCTGCAGTTTAAGGAAAACCAAGCCATGGTGGAGAGCTTTGCATTGTTCTTCAGTCTCTTAAGCTCTGTCCAGGTCTTTGTGACCCATGCTGGACTGCAGCGCACCAGTCCTCCCTGTCCTCCACCATCTCCCGGAGTTTCCTCAAACTCATGTGCATCGAGTCGGTGATGCCATCCAAGCATCTCATCCTCTGCCGCCCCCTTCTCCTCCTGCCCTGTCTTTGCCAGCATCAGGGTCTTTCGCATCAGGTGGCCCCGGTGGGCGGGGAGCGTAGGTGAGACGCGATAATGTGGCTGGCGTGCTGTGTGCCTGCCCACCGTGCAGGGCTCACGTCTTCCTTTCCCTCCAGGTACACGTCCCCAGATTTCCTCTACATCCGCTCCTGGCTCCCCTGCATATTCTTCTCGGGAGGCGTGACCGTGGGAAACATAGGGCGGCAGCTGGCCATGGTACGTAAGTCTGTCACATCGGCACCTGGTGGTAGCTTTCAGCTGGGTCAGCTTGGTTTACATAAGACGTTATCGTTTGTGTCAATGAATGCATAGTCAGGAGCAACAGTTATTCAGATAAGCATACATTTTTTAAAAAGCTATATCCCCAGGTCATTCTTTGCTAACTTGTAAAGGTTCAGGGGTTTGTAAGCTCACAGTGAGAGCTGCAGAGGAACCGGAGTTCCCCTCACATGACAGGTCTGTCAGCGGCTTTTCGGAACTGCCGCTCCTGTAATGACTGGCAGAGACGAGTTACAGAAATAGCTAAATGAATGATTTATGATAAGAGTCTCCTCCCCGGCTGCACGGCGCGGGTACAGGCGACACCGTGCTGGGGCAGGGCGCCGCGCCAGGCCTGCGAGAGCGCGGGTGGGGCTGGGAGGGCACTGAGTGTCCCTGGGTGGGTGGACTCCGGCCTGGACCCTGTCTAAGGACTAAAGGGAGTCACACTGAGTCCCTGATGGAGCCGTTTCCCAAGAGCCAGAAAGTCAGACACAGTCAGGATAACTTGGCAGTTCTGCTGGCAGTGAAAGACCGCAACACTTGAGCACTCTGATGAAGGAGTGTGCAACATGGACATTTAACTGTTTTGAATGGAGTTCAACTCTAAGGCTTAAATAAAATGAACTTAGAAAAGGAAACTAGAGTCTTATAAGGGCCATTTCTCTGAGACACAATCTGGGACTTTCTTAGAAACTTGTCTTGGTCCCTCATGCTTTTTTTTTTAAAAAAGGACATTTATTTGTACCTGCTGAGCCTGGCTTGGGAGCCGCCTGCTTGACTGTTTGACAAGAGTGGAAGTAACTTAAAAATGAGAATTTGTGATGTTTCCCACTGGCTCCTGAGTCCACGCCATCCTTCCCCCTCCACCCTTGTGATTGTCTGGACCCGCCGCCAAAACAAAAACTGTCGACGGTTTGTCTCTGGACCCCTTGTGAGCATGCGTGGCCCTGCCCGGTGACCACAGCCTTGGACCCCCCGTGCTGATCCCCACGCCCCTGGTGGTTCCTGGGAGAGGGAGGCAGCTGCATGCTTGCCGTCTGCGTGGAGATCTTCACTCAGTGCCGCTTAGTTAGGGTTCTTAGTAAGGCTTTCGAGATAGAGGTTGTCTTCAGCTCCCGTGACTCTTCACGGAGTTAAAGTTGACAACATTCAGCCAACTGGTTACTACTTCGGGAGGAGGGGTGGATGCTGTCATACGTTTACGAAGAAGGGTTTTTGAATGAATTTTGTAAATAAGCGTCCTTTCGATAGAGGTAGATGCTGCACACCACACGCAGGTTCGTAACACCAGAAACGGTTGGCGGAGACTCACAGGAGTGCGTGGTCACATCTTTGGCGACGACACCAAGTAAAGGTGGTTTTAGCAGCTGTCCTTCCATCCTTGTCTTCCTGCTGCTGTTCAGTCACTCACTCGTGTCCGACTCTTTGCGACCCCGTGGACTGCAGCACGCCAGGCTTCCCTGTCCTTCACCATCTCCCAGAGTTTGCTCAGACTTACGTCCATCGAGTCGGTAATGCCATCCAACCGTCTCATCCTCTGTCACCCTCTTCTCCTATCTTCAGTCTTTCCCAGCATCAGGGTCTTCTCCAGTTCTCCAGTGAGTTGGCTCTTTGCATCAGGTGGCCAGAGTATTGGAGCTTCAGCAACTGTCCTTCCAATGAATATCCAGGGTAGATTTCCATTAGGATGGACTGGTTTGTCATAGACATTTTCATTTTTTTGTTTGAAAAGATGAGTGAAACCATAATTATGGTTCCCCTTTCTTAAAGGTATTTCTTCTTTTTTACTCTTCAAAATTGGGGACCATCTTATCTTTGGATGTTACTGTTGTGTCTTGAAACTGGAAGAGGCTGGCGAGCGTTGCAGTCATCAAAGGGAAAGAGCCCCCGCCCCGGTCTGAGTCCAGCCCTCCCGCTGTCTTTCCATCCGTGCACATTTATTTATGTGTGTATTTGGCCACGCCTCATGGCTTGTGGTACGTTAGTCCCCAACCAGGTCCTGGACACCAGCCCCAGCAGGACGAGCTGCTGATGGGGAGACCGGTAGACTCCTCAGATGTGTGAAGCCAGAGGGGCAGTCACAGCTGGTTTTACAGATGCCCCCTCCGCTGCCAGCCACTCCAGGGAGGGAAGGAGCAAAGCCCCTTTCCCCGAGCCCCCAGACCCCAGCAGAGGACATGGTCTGCGTGATCACGGGCAGGGCGGTCATGGCTCGGGTTGCAGCCGTGTTTCTGGGAGAGTGGGGGAGAGAATGAGGGAGGGTTACTTCTGTTACAGCTACTCGGGGCCGAGAGTGAGGCACGGGCTTCAGATGGTCTTAAAGGGTCTGCCTCTCCTGGCGGAGGCGGGCAGTAGTGAGCCGGGTTGGTGGGGGCAGGCGGGGGGAGCGCTCTGCAGGAACGAAGTGGCCACTTCTGACAAGTAGCTGGTTGGGGTGGTTCTTTTCTCTTTTGCAACTTTAAAGTTTACCATTGTTCTGCAGTTGACCCTTGAAGAACAGATGGATTGGGGCACCAGCCCTCCGAGAAACTGAAAACCTGACTGTGTTGGATGAATCCTGTATTAATGGATACAGCCAACCAGGGACTATGTTGAAAAAATCTGCCTAAGTGAAGCCTCGCTCTAACTCTCATTGTTCAAGGGCCAGCTATACTTGGTAACCGCAGCACTGGCGGTGTGCAGGAGCTCGTGGTCGTGGTCTCTGCAGCAGGCAGACCTGTGTTAGGAGGGGGCAGGCCCATCAGCTATGTCCTGCGGAGGTTGTCCGTGGGGTGGTCACCGCAGGACCGTGGCCCTCTGCCTTTGCACAGCGCCACCTGTGCCCTGGGAGCAGAGCCTTGGCTCTGGGTTGTGGGTGACAGGAAGGCAAAGAATCGGTCCCCCCACCCCCTGCAGAGCCCCCAGACCCTCATCCCCACCCTGGCCTCCCCTCCCCCAGTCTGTCCAGCCTGGTCCCTGCCTTTCTATTTCCATCCTTCAGGGCATCGTAAGTGAAGTGAACTGAAAATCTCTCTGTCATGTCTGACTCTTCATGACCCCATGGACTACACAGTCCATGGAATTCTCCAGGCCAGAATACTGGAGTGAGTAGCCTTTCCCTTCTCCCAGGGATCTTCCCAACCCAGGGATCGAACCCAGGTCTCCCTCATTGCAGGCAGATTCTTCACCAGCTGAGCCACAAGGGAAGCCCAAGAATACTGGAGTGGGTAGCCTATCCCTTCTCCAGCGGATCTTCCCGATCCAGGAATCAAACCAGGGTCTCCTGCATTGCAGGCGGATTCTTTACCATCTGAGCTACCAGGGAAGTCCTCTGTAAATGACTGTCCCCTGAAAGCAGTAGGGAATCTTAAAAAGCCCCCTTTGTCCAGCAGGAATTACACGCCTTCACAGCCTGTCAGTTGACCTCTGAACCTGACACCCCTCCTCTTCACAAACCCTCCATCCACTTCAGCCTTTCCTGCCATCTCCATGGGATGGCAGACCGTCTTTCTGCAATGTGCTGTTGCAGGAGCAAAAAGATAAGTGTGTGAAGCCAAAATTGTATTTTTCTTGAGACTAGAATTGGAAGTTATATTTGCTTCAAATTGCTCCAGGGCTGAAGAACAAAAAATATATTTATAATAAGGTTTGTCTTAGACATCTGTGACTACCCATGACTTGACCATCCCTGCCAGAAGGGCCTTCTGCTTTCCCCACCACCCAGCAGCCAATGGCTGTGATGGGCTGGAGCAGGGGCATGGCCTCTGCTCTCTGCCCCTGCCTGACCACCCACCGCCCAGTCCCAGTCCCTCAGAGGAGCGCCAGGGCCAGGCACAGAGGCTCGTGCCCCCCAGCGCCCTGGGGTGTGCACCATGGTGGCTTGGGTTTGCGTCTGCGGGTGCCTGGACAGCGCAGCACCTTGCTAGACCCTTTCTTGCCCAAGTCTTGATCAAGTTAAACTTTTTTTTAGAGAAAGAGAATATTCTAGCTAGGTTTTTCTTTTCTTTCTTCAAAGAAAGGGAAAAAACTAACAGCTGCTATGTGAAGGTGAGCTTACTCTTCATTTAGAATTTGAAAGCTCACTTCCAACCCAGGAAAGGACTCAGTGCCTTAGAAACGGGGTCGATGATGGTCCTGTTTGCACGTCCATGGCCACTGTCCTTGCTTTCAGAGCAGCCTCCCTGTGGTCCTCGGACAGAGGACACTTCTGAGACATATTTTAGCGGCAGTGTTGCAGGATGAACTTTTGGTTTCAAATGTCTCCAAGTGAGGCTTTGTAGTGGAATGTGATCTGAGTGCAGAAGACAAAGGGCTGAAGGCATCGACCCGAGGTGGGCACCGGTCAGCACGGGCCAGGGTTTCCAGTGTGACACGCCTACAGCCCACCCGCTCCCGTCCGCTCAGTTCTGCCCTTAAACGTGCTTCCTGGCCCCAGGCGGGTGTGCCCCAGAGCCACAGGCTGGCTTTGCTCGAGTGTTCACTGGTTCACGTTGCTTTTTCCATGCGGTATTTGTTGTCCGCTTCTGTGTTTAAACGAGAGTGTGTAGCATCATTTTATCGAGTTCGTGTCTGTCGTTTGCAGATGAAAATTCTCTTCTCAGGAAAAGTAAGGCTTCCCACTGCCGCCTGAGGAGCGTGGCCCCGTTCCCAGAGCCCAGGGCCAGGACGCTGGGTCTCCAGTGCACTTCCCTGGCCAGTGGGGCGTGGTGTGCCTCTCCCGTCTGCGACGCGGCAGCTCCTGGCTGTCACAGCGGTGGTGTTGTCGGGCTGGCGTCCGTTGGCACTTGGCCAAGTCCTGCGGCAGTGGTGTGGGGGCAGGACTGTCAGCCCACTTTGGAGATGGGGGTCGGAGCCCAGGATGCTGAGCGGCTGGCATCTGGTGCAGAGCGGGCTGGCCCGTGTGGCACGCTCGGCCTCTCAGCAGGGGTTAGGATGAGACGCAGGGTCCCCGGCTCTGGCAGGAGGCAAGGGCCTGTCCTCACACAGCCCCGTCACCTCAGGAAGGTCAGCCTCTGGTCTCGGACCTGCTCCCCCAGCGGGGTGTCTGTCTTCCGTTGAGGGCCCACCAGGCCGGGCCCAGACGACGGCCGCAAGTGCGGGGTGCCCTCCCCGAGTTTCCGCGCCGATTGGTGAGGAGGCGCGCGCAGACACAGCTCCTGGGCGGAGGTGCCGCCTCTCGTCCTGCCTGAGCGGGACAGACAGGGTCTGCTGAGACTGCGGCTCCCAGCTCAGGGCCCCGAGGGCATTGCCGTGGGGCTGGGGGAGCCCGCCTGTCGCCAGACCAGACCATGTTTCTGGTCTCCACCCTCGCCTCTGGCGCAAAGGAATTCTTCGTCTCTCACTTTGTAGGGTCCGCTTAAATTGCTAATTAAAACATGCACACATCCAGTGCTAACGTGCTCTTTTTTTCTCTTTCTCTACATAGGGTGTCCCCGAAAAGCCACACAGTGATTGAATCTTCAGACCCACAGATCCTGAAGAGTGGCGAGGTTTGGGAAGAAAATCCGCTTGATACTGGGTAGTGATGAAGACTATCTCTTTTCCTCAGTAATCTTTTCAGATGGGGCTGACTGTTCCAGTGACTCCTGGGAAACACTTCACCTGTTTCAGAGCAGCAGCGCGGGTGGCTGGCCGCTGGTGTTGGCACCTTGCGGGATGGTGTCTGGGCCCGCGTCCGCCGGGGGGCTCCACGAGCAGGCCGGCCGGGTACCGGGTCCCAAGGACTCAGTTTCCCGTGTTATTAAATGCCAAGTTGCCATATTTCCTAGCCTCGAACTAAAGCCTAACTACCAGCTCTGGTTTGGTATCAGCGCCCCGGGGATGGCTCGATGGTGCTTACAAAGATGAAGTGTGGTAAAATAGGAATATTACTCATCCAAAAGATTTTAAAAATAGGGCTGTGTTGTGAAAGAAGAGAAGGCGGTGGTGGCAGCAAGTGCAGGGCGGCCATGCTGGGCGGGCGGGCACAGCGTGTCCCTGGTGCCCGTGTGGGCCGCCGTGCAGACAATCGTGCAGAGAGGAGGCGGTGCGTGGGAGGTCGTGGCTCTGCGCTGCGATGGGTTGGACTTTCCATCCCGGGATTCACAGAGTTTGCCCAGAATCCGCGTCGTCTCGAAGGGGGCACCTGCTGGCCACACGTCTCCGTCTTGGCCCAAACCGTGAGTTTTCTTTGATACTTGGGAAGAAGACTCAGCTTTTTCCCCACAGCCCTATGGGATTTGCAATCTGTGATTGCCTTGTGAAAAGAAGAGTGCGTACGTCACTGCATTAAACATTCGGTGTTTCTAAATACTCAAAAGACGTGGTGAGCACAATGTATTCATTTAATGGCATAGACCATGTTGGACCTGGTCTGCAAGTCCTGGGTCTTCAACTTCAAGTGCAATGTATAGGAAACCAATCTGAGCCTTGTATTCTCTTTAAATATTTATTATTATTATTTTTTAAACGTATGAGATGTTAAAGAGGGTTCTCCATTTCAGTGCTGCATGGAGGCAAAATTCAGCAATAATTTCTTTTCAGTTGTGAAGTTACTTTGTTGTCGTGCCCTCCCGCTGAGCCCCAGTCCTTTGAAATACTCCCAGTTTGGGGGGTTTAGTAAACTTGTAATTTTTACTTACAAATTCACCCTTTCTATATTTTGCAATTGAAAATATTTCGGTTGTTTTGAATCCTGTGAATGTGGCTTGATGGTAAGATTCCTCGGGCAGCTGGCAGTCGGGGGGCTGGGGACGTGGGAGCCCCTGCCGGCAGCCGTGGACTCTCCGAGTCCAATGGTCCCCGTCTCAGTTTGCTTTTGTTTTAAGGAAAATATCCTGGAGTAAATTTTAGGTTACTGTAGTGACTTTGTTTTAGAGAATCTCCTTTAAAAGAAAATAGAACCATTCTGAACTTTGGAATGACCCCTTTATGACATTTTCTGAAAACGAGAACCATCAACTATGTGAAAAGATTTTTCAATGAGGATGTCAGCGTTTTTGTGGGGAAAAAAAAAAACCAGAAGTTATTAGATGAAAGCAGTCATTGAATCTTTCCAATATACTTGATCATGCACAATGAGTATTTTTCTCTCTTAAACTGGAAATAAATTTATGTCTGTTAGAAGCAGTGTAGCCAAAAGATGTGAATCTGAAGAATTTCGTTGCCAATATTTTCTAGCAAGTATATGAACCAAAGTCATTTGAGTTTGTGAAATTGTTAAATAGTATGAGCAGAATTTGCACTATACCAGATTGGAACATCTAGTGAGATTCACATTCATACTAAGTTTTCAGCATTGTGTTCTTTTGCATTCATTTTTTTTACTTTTATTAAAGGTTCAAAACCAACCATTGGATTTATGGGTTTTTCTTTTAAAGGGAGGAGGGGGAGCTCCCTCTGTAGGATAGTCACATTTGGAATGGAAGAATATTTTATAGCTTTCCAAAATTTACTAACTTGCCACACAATCTCTCGGGAAAAATATTTTTTCCTTGTGGTGGAAATGCACGTGTTTAACCTCCCGCCCTGCCCACTGGTGCTGGGCAGTGGGACATCTTCTCCAGCCTTCCCACCCCCAGGAATGCTGTCCTCCCATCTTGACGTGAGAGGGCCCTTCTCCCTGTCCTAGGACACGGGGTGTCTGGACACCCAGGAAAAGGGCAGAGGAAGCCTCCAGGCCGTGAACAGCCAGTGCGTCCGGGGCCCTGAGTGAGGGCCCGCGTGGCAGAGGTCCACTGTCCCCGGCGCCTGCTGGACAGGGTCACCCCCGGTGATGAAGGTGTCGCGGATGCGCTCCATGCACACACACTGCCTGGTGTGAACGCCTGCGCTGCCAGGGCTGGATGCTGGGTTGGACAAGAATCAGAACTGGCCTCAGAGGTGCTCATCCCAGGGTAAGAAACACAGACCCTGGGCCAGGCTAGGGAGGGCGCCTAGAGCAGCCGGAGCATCCTTCCCACACGACCTGCATCCACCTGAGGGCAGGGCTCCTGTCCAGCGCGATCCCACCCAGGGCTTGGCACAGCTGGCTGCAGCCCGGGCTGCACACACTTCCAGGAAGCATCCCTGAGCCAACAGGCCGCCTGGGCGCCCACCTCCACCCTCCAGCGACTGCACCGTGCTTGACGCAGTTTTGCAGATTTATTTTCAGTTGTGAAACAGCATTGCAATGATAGAGAAAGCTCTTATCTTCTTATACTCAAACCCAATACATGTATAGCATAGTCCAAAGCCATAGCTTTCTCCTACATGGAACACAAAACTGTTCATGTATGGAAAATTGATAGAGCCATCCCACCACAGGGACAGAAAGGTTTTGCCTGAGATTAACCCAATCTATGAGACTCCTAGGCTTCCCTGATAGCTCAGTTGGTAAAGAATGTGCCTGCAATGCAGGAAACCTGGGTTTGATGCCTGGGTTGGGAAGATCCCCTGGAGAAGGGAAAGGTAACCCACTCCAGTATTCTGGTCTGGAGAATTCATGAACTTTATAGTCCATGGGGTGGCAAAGAGTCAGACACGACTGAGCAGCTTTCATTTTCACTTGCACTATAAGACTCCCAACACAGAATAGCAAGTCCCCTCCCTAACAGTGGTGTTCCAAGAGCGATTTGTGAAGGTCAATTTGTTCTTAAGTCCAACAGAGCTAGCCTAGGTACCCAACTAACACAATCAACTGTACAGTACTGTACTATAATAGGTTTGTAATACTTTCCATGCAAATAAGACATAAAAAGTAAAAGATTTTAAATCTTACGATACCTTGAAGAGTACAGTAGTACAGTACATCAGGGGCTTCCCAGGTAGCGCTTGTGGTCAAGAAGCCACCTGCCAATGCAGGAGATGTGAGAGACTCGAGTTCGATCCCTGGATCAGGAAGATCCCCTGGAGGACGGCACAGCAACCACCTCCAGGATTCTTGCCTGGAGAATCCCACGGACAGAGGAGCCTGGTGGGCTACAGTCCATGGGGTTGCAAAGAGTTGGAAACGGTTGAAGCAACTTAGCACGCCCGCACAGTATGGCAGCTGGCATCGAGTGAACAAAAAGAGTGAAAATTTGTACTTAAAGGTTCATATGTAGGGGACTTACTGTGATGCCTGCTCTGAACTACTCTAAGCCTGTGTTTCAGAGTAAAGTTTGGGGAGTGAAATGTTTTCTGGAATTTTTCCGGTCTGTGAGCAGGTGGTTGAATTACCCTAGTTCACTAAAGGTCAGTTTGTGAGTCAACAAGGATTTCCGTGTCCTGTCTCTACAGCTGCAGATGCGAGGCTGAGCAAACAGGAGCTCAAGGTGGGGATATGGGTATTGTGTTTATTTAGCCAGTTGCCAGAGTCTCCTGAGATCCTACCCAAGGAGTGCTTCTGGAAGTTTGTCTAAAGAACAGGATTAGACATAATCAAGTCGTGTGGGTTATAGACAATGCCTTTATCTTGGTGAAAAGACAGGAGTGAAAGGGGCCAATTTAAATCTAAGCTTGCCTTTTCTACTTCATGTTTTAAAATAGACCTTTTGCTAAGAAGGTTCACCTTCTGAAAGTTTCAGATGATCTCTTTGTAATACTATAACTAGCAGACAAAGTCTTAAGAGTTGGAATATACCTTTGAAAAGTATTAATATTGTTGTTCAGTGACTAAGTCATGTCCAACTCTTTGTGACCCGGACTGCAGCACGCCAGGCTTCCCTGTCCTTCACTATATCCAGAGTTTGCTCAAATACGTGTCCATTGAGTCAGTGATACCATCCAGCCATCTCAAACCCTGTCCCTTCTCCTCCTGCCTTCAATCTTTCCCAGCATCAAGGTCTTTTCCAATGGGCTGGCTCTTTGCACCATGTGGCCAATATCATGAAGTATTAATAAAGATATTCAAACTCAGCTCTAACACATCACATCTTACACAGAAGCTGGCCAACTACCCAGTTACCTACGATCGCACTTGCTCCTGAAGACGCAGCAGACTAACCAACAATAAACTAGCCACAGGGGGGATTTGATCCCAGAACCTGGCCAAACTATGCGAAGAAAGATGCGTGAAATGTGCTTCCAAGTCCTAGGACCCACTTGGTCCTCTGTCAGTTTTCTGAGTAAATCTTCAGAGACGCAAATGTGAAGAATCTTGTCCTGAACAATTTTTAACCCCGAGTGCTTGGCTCAAGGCTGCGGCTCTGGGAAGAACAGAGCTGCTGAGATGGTGTCCTGGGTGAGGGGGTTCCTGCCTACGTCTGTAACTTGGCAAGACGGTGGCATGTGGAAAGCAGTTCCTACGTTTTCATTCATTAGCCACCATTCTTCCAGTGCTTTCGCTCCATCTTACGAGTTCTTTACATAAGAGAGACCGTGTTGTCCCCTGTGATATGTCTCCCCCAGTTCAGGGTATAAGACAGTCAAGGGCGATGAGTTGAAAGTTCACTAATTTTCTCATTAGAATCTGGCTCCTTGTGTTTTTTCTGTCTTCTCTCAGGTAGGTTCTCTACTGAAAATTTTAGAGTTTAGCTTTGGTGGAAAGTGGCCTAGGTTCAGTTCAGTTCAGTTCAGTCGCTCAGTCATGTCCGACTCTGTGAGCCCATGAATCGCAGCACTCCAGGCCTCCCTGTCCATCACCAACTCCTGGAGTTTATTCAAACTCATGTCCATTGAGTTGGTGATGCCATCCAACCATCTCATCCTCTGTCGTCCCCTTCTCCTTTCACCTTCAATCCCTCCCAGCATCAGGGTCTTTTCCAAGGAGTCAGTTCTTCACATCAGGTGGCTGAAGTATTGGAGTTTCAGCTTCAGCATCAGTCCTTCCAATGAACACCCAGGACTGATCTCCTTTAGGATGGACTGGTTGCATCTCCTTGCAGTCCAAAGGGCTCTCAAGAGTCTTCTCCAACACCATAGTTCAAAAGCATTAATTCTTTGGTGGTCAGCTTTCTTTATGGTCCAACTCTCACATCCATACATGACTACTGGAAAAACCATAGCTTTGACTAGATGGACCTTTGTTGGCAAAGTAATGGCTCTGCTTTTTAATATGCTGTCTAGGTTGATCATAGCTTTTCTTCCAAGGAGCAAGCATCTTTTAATATCGAGGCCTCTTAAAATGGTTCACTATTCACTTGACCCGGAAAACCCCATGAAATCATACAAGTCAAGAGGTTCAAGCTCTGTTTACTTTAGGAATCGTTGTGATGCTGTCTGGGCCGTGAAGGGTGCGTGGGCACTGTGACTGGGCCCGGGGCGCCCCAGCTGCTTGCTGTCCTCCTAGCGTGCTGGGTCATGTGACTGCCATCCCGCCGCCCTTCAGACTGCGTCTCATTTGCCATCTGACGGCCCCCAGGCCTGTCGTGACCCTCCTTCCCTCCCAGGGGCCCAGTGACCATGCCAGTGGGTGCCGCTGGGATCACCCTTTCCACCAATTCAATCTCGTTAGTTGCAAAAGGACCCAACTAGGACGGGGTGGGGGGGGGGTTGGGGGGTGGGCATGAGCAGATAAGCTCTGAGGGAGTCTGAGATGAGGGGGCGGCTTGACAGGAGCCCCTCCAGCCCACCCCTAACGATCTGCTCTGCGGCCCCAGCGTGTGCGGGCAGACCTCCAGCCCGCCACGTGACCAGCTGTCAGCCCGTTCCGGGGTGGGGGGGGGTGCCCGCCAACAAAAGGTCAACATGCCAACAGATCCCCGGAAAGCTCCCCAGGTCCGAGGCGGGGAGTGTGCACTTCACTGCCCTCACGGGATCAGCAACGGCCCTCGGGTCCTCTCGGAAACCTGGGGTAGGTGGGGAAGCCCTGTCTGGGGGCTTCTCATAAAGGAAACCCTTGTTTCCCAACATCCACAGACAGCTCTTTGTATCTGTTTTAAATGGTCGTCAAGAAACAGAAAAAATGTTCCTGAACCCTCAACCGACGTGCACCAGCAGGAGCAGCGCGTGCACCGCGGGCAGGTCAGACTCCTGCCCTGACGCTGGGGTCCCGCTGTCCACCCAGGAGGTCCAGTTTCCGCTTCCAGACATGCACAGCTCTTTGGTGACTGTGTTTCTGCTTGGCAACCCTAATCCTTCTCCGTAACAGGTTTTCAAAAGGAATCTGAGAAGGAGGAAGATGGGTGGGTAGGTAGGGTGTCAAACACTCGGCTGCTGGTCATCATGAAACCAACTTTTAACTTAAAATAGCCCAAAGTTTTAAATCCAACACCTGGACCTAGCACTTGGCTGTCCGATAAAGGCATTGGAGGACCGTGGCTGTCCCACTGAGCAAGAAGAAAAGTCAGGAAAAGCTTTCTTTTCTGAAACAGTGTTGCCTCCTGTTTTCAGCCCAAAGGCTGCTTCCTCACAGACCCCAGGGGTCTCGCCGCCCTTCACCCTTGTGTCCTGGATGACACTGTGTTCCCCAAGAGAAGCTACGTGGAAGGCCTACCCCCAGCCTCGGATGGGACCTTACTTGGGAAGAGCCTTTGAGGATTTAAGCTGACCCAGCGGGATGAGGGCTCTCATCAAAAGGGGAGCCGTGGGGGAGTTCCCTGGTGGTCCAGTGGCTGGGACTGGGCGCTTTCACGGCTGGGGCCCCGGGTTCAAGCCCTGGTTGGGGATGGTGGACACAGACCAAGTGGAGGCGGCAGGGAGGACTCCTCTGAGGACAGGGGATTGGCCCCGAGGAACGCTGGAGGCTGTCCGGCGCACAGGAGCCCTGGGCCTTCGGAGGGAGGGTGGTCCTACACCTGGACTTGAGTTTTCTGGCCTCCAGAACCGGAAACAACAAATCTCTGCAGTTTTTTTTTAAATTTCCTACAGCTTTTACTTCTCCAGGAGCATAAATGGATATCCTATGTATTCAGTCATTTCATCTGAACTTGGAGAGCTTCTTTTTCTGTACAGTATGTTGAAATCTGGAAGTCTCTTGTGGCTCAGCGGTGAAGAATCCTCCTGCAATACAGGAAACACGGGTTCAATCCTGGGTCAGGAAGATCCCCTGGAGAAGGAAATGGCAACCCATGCCAGTATCCTTGCCTGGAGAATCCCATGGACGGAGGAGCCTGGCGGGCTATGGTCCTTAGATTCACAAAGAGTTGGACATGACTGAGGGACTAAACCACCAACCCCCACCATGTTAAAATCTGATCCGAGTCATCCACCTCGCCCTAAGATGTGCTATCCAGGCTGCACTGCAGATGGCTGAACACGATGGAAGTATTTGCCACAGAATTTCTTACTTGGAAGTCTCTCTTGTGTGGGCCCACTTTATTTCTCAGGGAGGGAAGAGAGACGGGTGGGAGAATGCCACCCAGGAAGTCAAGTGGAGCTAAGAGGCTTTACTTAGTCAACAAGGGAGAGTTTGCTGGTCTTTGAAAACATAATTGGTTGAGATTAAAATCAGCACTAACCAGGTAGAATTTCAATACCCAGGGTCGGATTCTCCTGCTGAGCAGCTCAGTTAATCTCCTCTGTGCAACTGGCCCTTAGGGCAGCTGACTGGAAAAAGGAAAACAGGGAAACAGAGGCCCGGGCTACCTCCCCTGGGGGCCCTCACCGTGGACTCAGTCCAGACTTGACAGCCAATCCCTCTCCTCCTGCCCTGCAGCTGCCCAGGGGCCCACAGATGCTCCGTCGGACCGTGGGGACACAGGGCTGGGATGCTCCTTTATTACTGGGCGCATGATCAAGGTAGAGTGGAATATCTCAGGAACTGTCCACACCCTCCCCGTCCCCACTTCCACATCACAGCTGAGGAGCTGACCGCCCAAGAGGAGGCTGGGCTAGCCGAGCCTGTCTAGCCAAGATCCCTGGGACCTTCTCAACCCAGGGGCTGAACCGAGTCTCCTGGTGTCCTGTGTTGGCAAGCAGGTTCTCTACCACCGTGCCACCAGTGCTCTCCCTGGCTGGCTGTTCTTTCTGCTCACTCACTCAGTCATGTCCGACGCTTTGCGACCCCATGGACTGTAGCCCACCAAGCTCCTCTGTCCCTGGGGATTCTGCAGGCAAGATTACTGGAGTGGGCGGCCATGCCCTCCTCCAGGGGATCTTCGTTTGTTCTTTGGTTGTGACTATTTCTCACTTGTAGGGCCTGCTTGTGTATTAAGATGCTCATTCTGTGTTTCTGTTCAGGAGACTGTATGTTCTGGCTTCCTGAGACAGTTCTAGCTCCTGCCTCTTTTCTTAGCATAATTACTAGTATCTCTCCCTTCATGCCCTGAAGTGTCTGAGTTGGAGGGACAAACAATATCTAACCTGTTCTGTCTCTCTCTGGGTTCCTGAGTCTTATTTACAAAGGCCAAGTATTAATACGCAACAGATTGTCTATAAGTTGATGAAGCTGTCTGTCACTGGAGGTAAACATTTCAGTTCTTCCTTGGAGCAGCTCTTAGTTTTAAGAAAAATCACCAGGACAGACCTTTCAGTGATATAAATACAATACGCTATTACAGTACTTAGCACAGATAATCTGTCTAACGTCTGCAGAATCAATGAGCAAATAGATGGAGGAATCGAGCAATAGGGTGTTTCTGTTACGTCTTTAGCTGAAGGTGAAACAGTGGGAACACACCAAAGAAAAATCAGATCTAAACCAAGGCTCCGGAGGGACTAAGCAGAATGAAGCACCTCTAACCTCCCCTCCTCCTAAGTGTTCTGAAAACAGAACCTGCCTGGGACCGTGCTTTCAGCCACATGCTCTGTTATGCAATCAACAATCTCAGAGGAAGCAGAGAAGCCACGAGGTGCATGAATAGCTTGGTGGGTAGGGAGCCAGGGCCTCCTCACCACTGAGCGCCCAGGGACACACGGGTGCTTGCTCTGGAGCCTGACAGATACACACACTGAACATGCTGCTGATGGAGGCCCTACCTAAAGCCGTGGGTTACCGTGGAGTGGTCAGCATAGCGGTCATAATGACCAGAGCGCTCACAGAGGGTCTCCTGGAGCCTGGGTGTGTGCCTGCCACTCTTAGCACTTGGTCTGTGTTGTCTCGTTTAATCCTCGTAATAACCTGATGCGTTTGAACTGCGGTGCTGGAGAAGACTCTTGAGAGACCCTTGGACTGCAAGGAGGTCAAACCAGACCATCCTAAAGGAAGTCAGTCCTGAATATACATTGGAAGGACTGATGCTGAAGCTGAAACTCCAATGCTTTGGCCACGTGATTCGAAGAGCCAACTCACTGGAAAAGACCCTGATGCTGGGAAAGATTGAGGGCAAGAGGAGAAGGGGATGACAGAGGATGAGATGGTTGGATGGCATTGCTGACTCAACGGACCTGAGTCTGAGCAAACTCCGGGAGATAGTGGAGGACAGGGAAGCCTGGCATGCTGCGGTCCACGGGGTCACAGAGTCGGACACGACTCAGCAACTGAACAACAACCACCTGATAAGGTGGAGCCTGGTCCCATTTCAAGATTAGGGAACAGGGCACAGGGCAGTCACGCAACTTGCCTAAGGAAACACAGCAAACGTCAGAGCCAGGGTCAGAATCCAGACAGTCTAAGTCGTAACCACAGGTCCAAAGAAGAGTAGTTAGAGCACCTCGACAGATGAAGACCTGCGAGTCGAAAACAGAGAGAACAAAGAAGACAAGTGAGTGCCTGGACTAAAAGCTTTAAAGGACTGACTCATGGCCCGGTTTCACGGAAATGCCTCTACAGATTGCATCTTCTAAGTCATATTAACTTTAAAAACAGCCTTCAGAACCCAGGCCAACCTAAGTCAAGGAGTCCTCAAGCCTAGAGCTCAGGGACCAGTAATCAACATGGAATGCCTGGAAACGCTCGTCAGCTGCTCAAGTGGTGCCCTCTGGCCGTCCGGGGCGGGAGGTGGTGTTTCCAGCCACTTGGCAATAGTCAGTGGCCTGACGTCAACCCCGTAATCCTTGATTCATTCAGAGTTATATCCAGGAGTGGTTTGAGGGTTTTTGCTCTGTTTGTTTTTTAAGGTATTGAGGTTGGCCAAAAGTTCATTTGGTTTTTTCCATAAGATGACCCTAGCAGCGCTCAGTTATCTTTAACTTCGTCCAAAACAATTTTGTTAGATTGTATTGTGACAGCTGTCATATCAGCACTTAAAAAAACTTATCAGAAGTGGTGAATTTTTGTGTGGCCATTTTAATTTAAAGATGGAAGGAAGAAAGCAACATTTTCAGCATAGTATGCTTTGTTATTTCACTAAAGCTAAAAATGCAACTGAAATGCAGAAAAAGAAGCTCTGTGCAGTGTATGGAGGAGGCGCTGTGACTGCTGGAACATGTCAAAAGCGGTTTGCAAAGCTTTGTGCTGGAGACTTCTCACTGGACAATGCTCCAGGACTGGGTAAACCAACTGAAGTTGATAGCAACCAAATCAAGACATTGATTTAGAACAATCAAAGTTATGCCACGTGGGAGATAGCTGACATACTCAAGAATATCCAGATCAAGCGCTGAAAATCACTCGAGCCAGCCTGGTCGTTCATTGCTCTGATGTTTGGGCTCCACATAAGTTAAATGAAAAAAGTCACCTTGATTGTATTTCCGCATGTGATTTTCATTACGGTTTTGAAACAAGTTGTGACAGAGGTAGAGCTGGAAGCCGGTTCTGTGTCCTCCCCTCAGTGGACCGTGCTTTATGGGGATAACCTCTGGAGAGAGTCCCAGCCTCCCCAGTGCAGGGGAAGAGGGGCCGAACTTGTTGGGAGGGCAGAGGACCATTCTATCCTGTAGCAGCAGAGATGTGTGGGTTCCACTGGGCTTCAGGCCAAGAAAGGGGGCTTCTTCCAAAGGGGAAGCTCCAGAGCGAGACCCCCTCTGCCCGCTGACCCAGGAGGCCTTCTCCAGCCCCCATTGCCGCTGGCCTGGCTCCATCCCACAGATCAGGGCCGGCAGTGGGGCCGGCCAGCCTGGGTGATCAGGGCTCAGACCTCTGGGGCCGGGCTGACCCAGCTCGAGAGAGCCCCACCCGCCATTCAGGACCTACAGCTGAGACCCCCACACAACTAGGCTCCCAACACTGCCCGACAGCTCACACACAGACCCCTCAGTCCTGGCCACTGCACAGCAGTTCAGTTCAGTTCAGTCGCTCAGTCGTGTCCAACTCTTTGCAACCCCATGGACTGCAGCACGCCAGGCCTCCCTGTCCATCACCAACTCCTGGAGCTTGCTCAGACTCATGGCCATCCCATTGGTGACGGCATCCAACCATCTCATCCTCTGTCATCCCCTTCTCCTCCTGCCTTCAATGTCTCCCAGCATCAGGGTCTTTTCAAATGAGTCAGCTCTTCGCATCAGGTGGCCAAAGGATTGGAGTTTCAGCTTTAGCATCAGTACTTCCAATGAATATTCAGGACTGATTTCCTTTAGGATGGACTGGTTGGATCTCCTTGCAGTCCAAGGGACTCTCGAGAGTCTTCTCCAACACACAGTTCAAAAGCATCAATTCTTCGGTGCTCAGTTTTCTTTATAGTCCAACTCTTACATCCATACATGACCACTGGAAAAACCATAGCCTTTACTAGATGGACCTTTGTTGGTAAAGTAATGTCTCTGCTTTTTAATATACTGTCTAGGTTGGTCATAGCTTTTCTTCCAAGGAGCAAGCATCATTTAATTTTATGGCTGCAGTCACCATCTACAGTGATTTTGGAGCCCAAAATAACAGTCTGTCACTGTCTCCATTGTTTCCCCACCTGCTTGCCATGAAGTCTCACCAGATGCCACGACCTTAGTTTTCTCAATGTTGAGTTTTAAGCCAACTTTTTCACTCTCCTCTTTCACTTTCATCAAGAGGTTCTTTAGTTCTTCTTCGCTTTAAGCCCAGTGACT